GGAAGAACAGTCAGTGTTCTTAACCGCTGAGCCATCTCTCCAGCCCCAGTTGCTAGTTTTTTGTTGTTATTTTTTTTTATTTGGTTTTTTGAGACAGGGTTTCTCTGTGTAACAGCCCTGGCCATCCTAGAACTTGCTTTGTAGACCTCTGCCTGCCTCTGCCTCCTGAGTGTTGGGATTAAAGGCGTGTGCCACCACTGCCCGGCAGTTGCCAGTCTTTGCACACACTGTCAATCATTGGCACTCAGATCCTCTAGGGAACCTTTGCCATCCTCACTCTTTGGGGAGGCTTTGCTACCCCCATGGGGCTAAGGCACTGGAGGCCTTGACATGGACGAGCCCTAGTCAACACTACACATGTACTTAGGGCTCCTCTCACTCCCCCTGCTCCCTATGACCCCCTCCCACCCCCATAGGCTAATCTGATCCTCAGTCAAGGCCTTTCTCTCAGATGACTCTTGTCTGACTCTGTTTGACAATTAAAGCTAACTAGGACAAGTGTCTCTTCTTCAAGGCACAGCTAGTCTGCAACTCTGTGCAGGAGGCTGCAAACAGGGCCACTGTTGGCCAAATATGGAGGGTGGCTGGGTTCCCTAGGCTGAGGGCAGTAGATGTGTTTGCTGCCTCAGCTGCTGTGGAGAGCTGGCCCCTCCAACCCCAGCTTGCCATGCTGCTCAGCACAGGGCACCCCTATGGTCTCCTGTGTTGCAGGTCCCTGTGGACGGCACTGAAGCTAAGACAGATGCTGCGGAGCCCCACAGGCGCCTTCACCAGGTACTGCGTCCTAATCTCTCCTGCAGGTGGACAGAGTGGCCACCTCTCAGAACCAGGCCTCTGCTGGCCTTTGCAGGGCTAATGTGGGAACCCTTGCCCCGGAAGGTTGTAATAGATGTCAGCCATGCTTCATGGGACATGGGTGTCAAACTGAAGTATGGTTTAGTCAGATTCCAACTTTTGGAACCAAACAGGGTGTGGGGGGGCAGTGTGGATTACCCCAAACAGCTGTGTCATTGGAAAGTCTCACCCCAGCGTGGAAGACAACTTCCTCAGCTGCACAGCATCTCCATGCAATTAGGGCAGAACTGTATACAGCAGAGTCAGAAGGAAGTCACTAGAATGTCAGAGGAGGGTCTGATGACCCTCCCCACTTCTCTATATATGCAAGTCTGTCAGGTTCAGGGGATGGACCACTACAAAAGGGTGTGCATAGTGTGGTGTGGTGTGGGGTGTGTGTGTGTGTGTGTGTGTGTGTGTGTGTGTGTGCTCAAATAGCATTGCTTTAGCCTCTGGGTGGGAAGTAGTGCCTTTCCCAGGCAGGGAACAGGCTTGCTAGAATGAGGACTAAAGGCTGAGCCTTCATGGCTGTATCCCATGGCAGGGTGGGTTATATGAAGTTCAGGACATGGTCACAACCCCCACACTCCATGTGCAAGGATCCTGGAAAGAAGGTGTGGAATTGAGGCTGTGGGCCACTCTGTGCTTGCTCCTTTCTGGGTGACATAGGAAGGGCAGGCAGTGAGTGGCTTGCTTCCCTTTCTCTCTCACAGCCAGCTGCCCAGAAGCAAGCGGAGGGCTATGGAGGCAAGGATGTGGTCAGAGGTCTTAACTCTACTCAGCAACCTGGCTGACCTGGCAAACGCTGTGCACTGGCTGCCCCGAGGTGTCCTGTGGGCTGGCCACTTCCCTCCTTGGCTGGTGGGCCTCATGGGTACCATCTCCTCCCTCCTCAGCATGTATCAGGCTGCCAGGGCTGGCGGCACGGCTGAGGCAGACAGCTCTTGATGAGGCCCTGGAGTGGCAGGTAGAAGATACTGTGGGTTATCAACAAAAGGCTCAGATTCCCAGAGTGGGAGCCACTGGCCAAAGATACATCCATAACTGTGCACTCCAGTAGCTGTCCCCTGGGTGGGGTGGGAAAAGGGCTGATAGGAGATCTCAGGTCCCAGCTAGGGTTTCAGGGGAAGCTGCCCCTTTGGGAAGTAGGGGGCATATGAGGAGGACCCCAGGACTCCCAGAGCCAAGGCCAGGCTTGCCAAGTCCCAGGAGGACTCTGCTAGAACCTCCCATTTGATGGCATGCCTGAAGGTGAGTGGGAGAGACTTGCCGTGCCTCTAGTGTTGGGCTTTGGGGAAGATGGAATATTTTGTTTTTTTTTTTTTTTTTTTTTAAGATTTTTTATTTTTTATTTCTTACTTATACAGTCTATACAGTCTGCCTGCATGCCAGCAGAGGGCACTGGATCTCATTCAAGATGGTTGTGAGCCACCATATGGTTGCTGGGAATTGAACTCAGGACCTTTGGAAGAACAGTCAGTGTTCTTAACCGCTGAGCCATCTCTCCAGCCCCAGTTGCTAGTTTTTTGTTGTTATTTTTTTTTATTTGGTTTTTTGAGACAGGGTTTCTCTGTGTAACAGCCCTGGCCATCCTAGAACTTGCTTTGTAGACCTCTGCCTGCCTCTGCCTCCTGAGTGTTGGGATTAAAGGCGTGTGCCACCACTGCCCGGCAGTTGCCAGTCTTTGCACACACTGTCAATCATTGGCACTCAGATCCTCTAGGGAACCTTTGCCATCCTCACTCTTTGGGGAGGCTTTGCTACCCCCATGGGGCTAAGGCACTGGAGGCCTTGACATGGACGAGCCCTAGTCAACACTACACATGTACTTAGGGCTCCTCTCACTCCCCCTGCTCCCTATGACCCCCTCCCACCCCCATAGGCTAATCTGATCCTCAGTCAAGGCCTTTCTCTCAGATGACTCTTGTCTGACTCTGTTTGACAATTAAAGCTAACTAGGACAAGTGTCTCTTCTTCAAGGCACAGCTAGTCTGCAACTCTGTGCAGGAGGCTGCAAACAGGGCCACTGTTGGCCAAATATGGAGGGTGGCTGGGTTCCCTAGGCTGAGGGCAGTAGATGTGTTTGCTGCCTCAGCTGCTGTGGAGAGCTGGCCCCTCCAACCCCAGCTTGCCATGCTGCTCAGCACAGGGCACCCCTATGGTCTCCTGTGTTGCAGGTCCCTGTGGACGGCACTGAAGCTAAGACAGATGCTGCGGAGCCCCACAGGCGCCTTCACCAGGTACTGCGTCCTAATCTCTCCTGCAGGTGGACAGAGTGGCCACCTCTCAGAACCAGGCCTCTGCTGGCCTTTGCAGGGCTAATGTGGGAACCCTTGCCCCGGAAGGTTGTAATAGATGTCAGCCATGCTTCATGGGACATGGGTGTCAAACTGAAGTATGGTTTAGTCAGATTCCAACTTTTGGAACCAAACAGGGTGTGGGGGGGCAGTGTGGATTACCCCAAACAGCTGTGTCATTGGAAAGTCTCACCCCAGCGTGGAAGACAACTTCCTCAGCTGCACAGCATCTCCATGCAATTAGGGCAGAACTGTATACAGCAGAGTCAGAAGGAAGTCACTAGAATGTCAGAGGAGGGTCTGATGACCCTCCCCACTTCTCTATATATGCAAGTCTGTCAGGTTCAGGGGATGGACCACTACAAAAGGGTGTGCATAGTGTGGTGTGGTGTGGGGTGTGTGTGTGTGTGTGTGTGTGTGTGTGTGTGTGTGCTCAAATAGCATTGCTTTAGCCTCTGGGTGGGAAGTAGTGCCTTTCCCAGGCAGGGAACAGGCTTGCTAGAATGAGGACTAAAGGCTGAGCCTTCATGGCTGTATCCCATGGCAGGGTGGGTTATATGAAGTTCAGGACATGGTCACAACCCCCACACTCCATGTGCAAGGATCCTGGAAAGAAGGTGTGGAATTGAGGCTGTGGGCCACTCTGTGCTTGCTCCTTTCTGGGTGACATAGGAAGGGCAGGCAGTGAGTGGCTTGCTTCCCTTTCTCTCTCACAGCCAGCTGCCCAGAAGCAAGCGGAGGGCTATGGAGGCAAGGATGTGGTCAGAGGTCTTAACTCTACTCAGCAACCTGGCTGACCTGGCAAACGCTGTGCACTGGCTGCCCCGAGGTGTCCTGTGGGCTGGCCACTTCCCTCCTTGGCTGGTGGGCCTCATGGGTACCATCTCCTCCCTCCTCAGCATGTATCAGGCTGCCAGGGCTGGCGGCACGGCTGAGGCAGACAGCTCTTGATGAGGCCCTGGAGTGGCAGGTAGAAGATACTGTGGGTTATCAACAAAAGGCTCAGATTCCCAGAGTGGGAGCCACTGGCCAAAGATACATCCATAACTGTGCACTCCAGTAGCTGTCCCCTGGGTGGGGTGGGAAAAGGGCTGATAGGAGATCTCAGGTCCCAGCTAGGGTTTCAGGGGAAGCTGCCCCTTTGGGAAGTAGGGGGCATATGAGGAGGACCCCAGGACTCCCAGAGCCAAGGCCAGGCTTGCCAAGTCCCAGGAGGACTCTGCTAGAACCTCCCATTTGATGGCATGCCTGAAGGTGAGTGGGAGAGACTTGCCGTGCCTCTAGTGTTGGGCTTTGGGGAAGATGGAATACTGGAATGCCTATTAAATATCTTGGTATGGTGCCAGTCTGTATGTGAGGTGATTAGTCACTCTCTGGCCTTCCCTCCTCTAGGCTAAGTCACACGGTTTGCTCACACAGGTGCATGGAACATTAAGTGGGAAACTTCTCATCTCTATTCCACCCCTTAGGACTCCCTCAGCCTACTGACCTCTCAGTATCTGACTGACCTCTGCCCACTGAGTCCAGGCCTGGGAGAATGTTATCTACTTCCTGAAGTCCTGGGAGGGAAACTATAGGTTGCTGCCTCCAGGAAGGCCACACCTAAATGAGAGAACAGTCATGCCAGTCATGGCGTCTTACCATATTAAGGGCCATAGAGGCCCTATTTAATCCGGGGACAGGCCATGCTTGCTGACCTCTCTGAAGACATTTGTGGATTTGTGTCCTGTATCAAAGAGACTATAGTGGGTGTAGCCTTTTTTTAAAAGATGTTTAAAATTTTATTACTTTAGTGTATGTGTCACTATCATGTTAGTGGTGGGGATTGGTTTGATGGTAAGCACCTTTACCCATGTAGCCATCTTACCAGCCTTCATATAGGATTTTTAATCTGGAAGCCAAGGATGTTTGGGAGGTGGTGGCCCAGTCTGAGAGACCAGACACAGCTGCCTTTGGACTGCACATGATGCCAGTCTTTTTTTTTTTTTTTTTTTTTTTTTGAGACAGGGTTTCTCTGTGTAGCTTTGCAGACCAGGTTGGCCTCGAACTCACAGAGATCCTCCCGAGTGTTGGGATTAAAGGAGTGCGCCACCACTGTCCAACTGTGTGCATCTTTTTAAAGATTTATTTATCGTGTGCACAGAGTTTTGCCCACATGTATGCCTGCAGGCCAGAAGAGATCACTAGATCTCATTATGACTGGTTGTGAATTGAACTCATGATCTCTGGAAGAGCAGCAACCTGAGCCATCTCTCCAGCTGTTGTGAGTTTTGAGACAGCCTTGCTACATAGCTCAGGGTCCCCAAGTGCAGAAATTTCTTTTCCTTCCCTTTCCTCCCAATTTTCTTTTCCCTGCTCCCCCTCACCCCGCCTCCAATTCTTGGTACTAGGGATGGATGAGCCAAGTCCTACTGTTGAGATACAATGGCCCCCTAACCCCACCCTTTGGTGATGGCTAAAAGTCCAAGAAACTTTGGTTTTACAGAGAAGACAGGTGCTTGTGAGCCACTGGGATGCTGGGACCACTTGGGGTGGTGGGGGTACATGAGGAATCCCAGCACAACACACCAACCTTTCATGTGTGGAGCACCTGTGCAGGGTTCATGGCTAGGCCAGGAACATGCTCTTGTCCTTGTGGTACTCCCACCAGCTCCAGCTATCATGCACATTGTGGTGGCATCCTGGTACCAGTTCCCCACCTCAAGTCTGAGCACATGCCCTCAGAGCAATGGCTCACCTAGTCAGGGTACCAGGAGAACAGAGGCCAAGTGTGAGGTCCAAGCCTAGGCTGGGAGGGTCTTCTATAAATCACATGTGCAGACACGGAACAAAAGGGCAGACACTTCCAGAAGAGAAGGCTCAGCTGAGCTGTCCAGTGGTTCTGGATGGGGATGGAACTAGATCTTACATGTACTAGCCTAGTCCTCCACCAAGCTCTAGCCCCCACCGTTCCTTATTTATTCTTTTTGTGCTAGAGACAAGGCTTCATGTGAGCCAGGCTGCCTTGAATTTTCTATGTAGTCAAGGATGCTTAAAATCTTTTGAGATGGTCCTATGTAGCCTTGGCTGGCCTCATACTCAGAGGTCTGCCTGCTTCTACCTCTCGAGTGCTGGCATTAAAGGTGTGTGCCACCATAACTGATTATAAACTTTTATCAAAAAAAGACTTGTGTATGTGCCCTTGTATACATGTGTATCTCATATGCATGCCTTGTACCTATGGAGGTAAGGGTTGGATGCCCTAGAACTGGAGTGATAGATGGTTTAGAGCCACCATGGGAACCAAACCCAGGTCTGTCTGAGAGCAGCCAGTGCTCTTAAACACCAAACCATTTCTCCAAGCCCTTAAACACAAAAGTGTATGTGTGAATACAGGCAGGTGTGGAGAGGCTAGAGGACAACCTCAGGTTCTAGCAGCCTGTCCTCTGCTGTGTACACTAGGCTAGCTGGCCAGTGCATTTCCAGGGATTTCTCATCTCTGCTTCCCATCCTAGGATAGTGCTGGATTTCAGAGGCATGCTTCTGTATCGGACTTGTGACCTGGGTTCAGGCCCTCACACTTGCATTTACCCACTGGGCCATCTCCTCCGCCCTGTCTCACATTTCTGATTCTTTACACCCATTTCCTAAGTGCTGAGATTACAAGTGTGCACCACCGTGCCAAAACTGGAGACAGAATGTAGGGTCTCATGTATGCCAGGCAAGCTCTCTACCAACTGACCCACATCCGTGTACCCATACCCACAGCACCCGCTCACCCTTCCACATTCATGTTCTCTGTCACCAAAATCTCAGCAGGTGACAGCTCCCTGCTTCTCACCCCCCACCCCAAAGAAGGTCTGCTTCAGCCTGAGGTCCTTTGGATACTTTTATTGCTAGAATCTGGTCATATGTTCTAGGGTGATTCCAGAGTACCCCGTGGCCAGGATGCTCTGCCATCACTGTGAAAATAATCATGGGGTAGACAAAGATCACGGTCACAATTGACAAGGGATGCTACTCAGTCTCACCAGCTTTACCAAGGAGATCTGCCAAGGAGGAACCCCCGGCTGCTGGTGACAGATACACTGATGCTCTACTGTGTGCAGTACACAGTTGAGATACACCTGGCCGCCTGGCAGGGGCATGATAAACCCTACCCAGGGCCAAGTGGAAATCATTGGAACTTCTAAGTCCAAAAAAATCATGGTGTCTAGGGTGGGGTCAGGGTATGTGAGTTGATGGTGAGCCCGGCCCCTCTCAGGGGCGGGGGTCCTGGAATGTTCTCTTCACAGAGTGGGAACTTAAAAGTCAGCTTTCCTGAAGTGTTCTGATATACCTCAGTACAAAAGAAGACACAAAACACTGATTAGCAACATGGCACGGATGAGGTCTGGGAAATGGAGATACACTCTGGATACAAGACAGAGACAGACAATGGGGCCCCCACACCACTACTGGCACTCTGAAGTCATTAGATGCCACAACTTTCAGCACCCTGTTGTCCACCAGCTTCTGCACTCTTGGTCACCACACCCAGTTACCTCCCAAGCCAATGGGCACCCAGCCCTGGGAACAAGACCAGAGCAGCTGCTGACCAGATTCCTGCTTTTCTGGCAGGACACTGAAGGAAAACCTCATTTCACAGGGATCAAATGCTGTCTGGGATATGTACTGTCCTGCTGAACCCGGCTGGGGTTCTGTGTCTCAGAGGGGTGGATGGGAGGATGCGTAGGTGCCCCTCCAGAGGCAGAGTAGGGAAAAACACCCCCCTACTACAAGGAGTGACAGCTGGATGCCCCTCCAGATTGATTTCTGAATCTACAGATCCAGTCCATTGCTCCATGGGCTGCCCAAGCCTCTCCAACCATGTGGCCTTCTGTGGCCAGGTTCACTTACTGATCAAGGCTCTCTGTGGCATCAACTGCTGCTTTGGAAGAGAGGAGTAGCTGGACTCTGGGTGATTCTAGGGCCTTCTGGTGCCTGACTCAGCTCAATCCAGACTTCTGGGGGTTATGGAACCTGCCTCTGAGCCAGTGTCTTCTTAGACCCACCTGTTCTTGTGTCCTGGCTCCCCAGCTCTGTGCTGTCTATCTCAGGGTTTAAAACAGTTCTGTGGTTTAGCTGGAGTTCGACTTTCAGTTTTAAACAACTTTGTTTACATGTACATATATAAAAAGGTTCAAGAGGCTACCACTAATTCTACAGAGAGCTGTGAGACCCGACACTAACAGGACAACCTCAGATGAGCAAGTGCCTGGGGATGCTCAGGCAGGGGAAGGGGATGGCCAGACAGTAACAGTCACCCATGGGATCCCCAGAGACAAAGGGTTATCAGGACAGGAGATCTGCTCTTGGGCCATGGCCCCCTCAGAAGAAGATGACATCTTCCTTGCCAACTTCATCCTTGGCGGTGAGTGGTGTGGTTGGCAGTGAGGGGGATGGGGATGCAGGTGGCAGGGATGTGCTTCCGGACTTGAAGAAGGCCTCAGGGGACGTGGCAGCTGGGGCTGGGCTTGGGAGGCAGGGGTCTGGAAGAGAGGTGGGACACACTGGTGTCAGAAGTCACCACAAGCAGTGGGTGGCTCCAATGTCCAGTGGCTGGGCTCACCTGGGACAGGTGCAGATCCATGGGTGGCGGGTAGGATGGGACTCAGTGACCGGCGGTTTCGTGACGAATTCTCATCCTTGCTTATGAACTTGTTGAGAAGCAGCTGCTGCTTCAGGTCGAAGGATGCTGGAAGAGGGAAGGTACCTGAGCTGGACTTGGCTATCTGGGTGGGAAGTGGGCCTCCCCACTACCTGCTACTTCCCCATGGGCAGCCAGATAAGCACTTTGAAAGGCGGCTCAGAGTCAGTCAATGTTGGGAGAAGGGTGTGGCTTCCAAGCAAACACCCTTTCCCCATGATCAGTAGGACATGGACTCTGCTTATGGATAAAGTCCCACAACACCCTCTGTGTCAACAGGGGATAGGGAATCTATGGGGGAGGGGCAAAGATGCTGGGTACAGCCCTAGTACCTGTCCTGTGACCCAGCTGTGAGGTTAAGTAAATGGGCATGGTGATTAGTTTTGTCAAAGACACAGCCTGGGACAAAGGGCTCTGTGAAGGACTGTCTACATCAGGCTGACCAGTGGGCATGTGTGTGGGAGATTGCCTTGTTTGCCTTAATCAGCGTGATGACCCAGCCTGAAAGTGGGCTCCATCATTCTGGATAAGAATAAGAAAGTCACCTTTAATCTCATCACTCGGGAGGTAGAGGCAGGGGGATCTCTGTGTGTTCGAGGCCAGCCTGGTCTACCGAGCAAGTTCCAGGACAGGCTCCAAAACAATACAGAGAAACCCTGCCTCGAAAAAGCCAAAAATAAATAAAAATAATAATAAAAGGATGAGGAAGCTGGCTGGGTCCTAGTCAAACATGCATCCGTTTCTGTGCTCTTGACTGTGATGTGACTCTCAAGCACTTGTCACCTTGATTCCTCACAATGGTGGACTGACACTGGAACTGTGAGCTAAAAACAAATCATTTCTCTAAGTTGCTTTTTGTCAGGGTGTTTCATCCCAGCAACAGAATACAACTGGCACAACGGACATCTGCTTTCTTGCCATGCTGCTTGCCCATGCTGGTGCTTGTTAACTGTCTCCCTTGTCTGAGGTCTGTCAGTTCTGCTGCTGGGACAGAGCACTCCATCGGGAGGGGTGTGCTTCTTCTCTGGATGCTACAGAGGTCCTGATTTAGGGCTTCCAATGAGGCTCTATAGTAACATTTCACCAGCTTCTCCCAGTGGACCTTCCACAGGGGTTCTTGAACTTTTGGGGTGGGGGTGCAACTCACCTGAGCTCTCCCAACGCTGGGAGCCCCTGCTCTTGCTGCCTTTGTCCTTGCCACCCTTGGTGGAGGCAGCCAGCTTGGTGGGGATTTGCTGTTGCACGGCTGTCTGCCTCTGAATCTGGTTGGTGGCACTGAGCAGCTGGATGGGCACATCACTCTTGGCTGTCCGGCTCTCAGCGGGGACACTGTCCCAGCGGGCCACCTCAGGTCGTTCTATGTACTCAGGTCCTGTGCCAGGTAGTAGCATGCTCCCTTGGGTCCCTGGTGTTTTGGCTAGAGCCAAGCGCCCCTCCAGTCCGTCCCCATTGAAACTGGGAGGATGGCTTGTGGGCTGGGCCTGAAAGTAACAGAAGACACAGCCTGTCGCTGCTGAACCTTCCCAGCCCTTTGGTGGCTCTGGCGTGGGGAGGACCAAACACCGCTGGTGAATGCTGAGAGATGATGGCGTTGTCCGCCCAGCTCTGGATCCAGGTCATAGCTGGGAAGGTGTATTCTTTATTCTGCAGCGCACTGCTTCAGTGTAAAGTGCTTCTGGTGATGTACAATTCATGAAACACACCAGTATATGCACATCCATGGTCATGCTGAGTCATATGACACATGCGTTCTCTCTCACACACAGATATGGTCACACAATTTATTTGGACTACTCACAGAAACTTTTCTGGAGACAAGGTTTCTCTGTGTAGCCCCTGGCTGTCCTAGAACTCAGAGATCCATCTCTGCCTCCTGAGTGCTGGGGTTAAAGGCATGTGCTCCTTTTAACAGCACCTTCTCCCTTGCCCCAAGCAAGGTATCACATAGCCCAAGTGACCTTGAACTTGCTATGTGGTCAAAGATGATGTAATTCTCCTGCCTTCACCCCTTGAATGCTAGGATGACTGGCCTGTGTCACTATGTTTGTTTGCTTTTAAAGATAGGGTTTCTCTGTGTAGCCTTGGCTGTCCTGGAACTCCCTCTGTACACTAGACTGGCTTTGAACTCAGAGATCCTCCTGCCGCTGCCTCCCGAGTGTTGGGACTAAAGGCTAAAGGCATGTGCCACCACTGCCCAGCTTTTTTTTAAATGCAGTGCTGGGACTGGAACCAGGGGCTTCGTGCATGCTGGGCAAGTACTAAACCAAGCCACATTTCCAGCTTAGTGGTTTGGCCACACAGGCCCACTCACCTCTGCCAGCACCTCTGGGGGCAGTGCCCCGGGTACAGTGTTCTGTTTCTTGAACCTGCGCAGCAGCTCCAGGCGCTCACGTTCTCGGTCTACTGCACGCTGGGCCTCGCGTAGACGCTCCAGGTCATGCTGGTAGGCCTGGCGTTGCCGCTCTAGTTCTGTGCGCTCCTGGTCCAGCCTCTCACGTAGCTGGCGTGCCTCGCCCTCTCGCTCCTGCAGTCTCGCACCTGCCAGCTCCAATTCCTGCTGCTGGCGTGCACGTTCCCGCTCCCAACGCTGCTGCTCCTGGCGCAGCTGGCTCTGCAGCTTTTCCACGCCTGCGCGCTCCTCACGCTGCTTCTCGAAGTTGCGCTGCCGCTCTTGCTCTAGCAGCAGGTTCCCACGTGTTGATTGCAGCCGGAACTGCTTCTCGCGCTCCTGGATGGCCACTCGCTGCATCTCCACATAGCTGTCCTGTTGGGCGATGACCGCCTAGGTACAGGGATGGGGTGGGGCTGATGAGAGTCATGCCCTTGGCTAGACCCAGCCAACCAGCGAAGGGCAGGAGCAGCCAGTCCCCTCCCTGATGCTGCAGGTACCTGGAGACTAAGAAGCAGCTGAGACAGTGTCTGGACCCGGTGGACCAGCTGCAGAGAGAAAGTCAAATTGGTCTACCTGATTATGGTACACAGGGCATGTGGGCATGCCATCCCTGGGGGAGATGGACCAGGAGTGGTACCTCTGACTCCAGGACAGTGGGCAGACATGAGCTACTCTCTGCGCTAGGCATCTCCACCTGTGAAGAAGATGACAGTATCAAATGGGACTGACCCAAACCACCACAGCTGACTATGGGAGGAGACAGGTTCTTGGCATGGGAGAAAGAACCCAGGGCTGGGCTGTGACTGTGGGGTACAAGTCCTATGGCCATCTGATGTATGCCCATCTGAGAGTCTGGAAAATGAAGCTCTGGGGAAGCCTGGGAGGTGGGTGGGTGCCTGACGTCCAGCTCTACAGTAGGGTGGGCTTGGAAGTGAAGCTTTATGTGGCCACGCCAGACACAGACACAGCTAGAGGCAGGTGGCCTTAGCCTCTGGAAGCCTCAGAAACCATGAGCAGGTGTTGGGTGTGCTGAGTCAAAGGAGAAATGTCAGGAGTGTAGACAGATGTTACTACACACTCTGGATAGCTTGTGGTACACCAATGTGGCACTGTGTTGAAGTGAAACAACTAAGGTTGTGCCCATTCTCTCCCCTGCCTCCCTCCCAAGTCACTGCCTGCCATTCCCAGGGGTCTGCAGGATTAACATGATAAGGCTGTCATGTTAGTGGTGGTTATGTTGATTTGGACTGTCTGTACCCAGGCAATCACTTACGGTCTGAGGTGACTCCTCACAGCCACTGGGGGTGGGGCTGTCACAGGGTTTGGAGTCTGGGCTGCCAGAAGGCCCCTGCCAGTCTTGGGGCCTGAGGTCGTTGCTGCACATCTTCTTTTTAAAGCTGCCACCTAGAGACCCCAAATGGACCGCAGAGGATGCTATGAATCCCACAGGGTCTGGGATCCCCTCCTCTTCACCCAGACCCTAAGTGTAATAAATACAGGCTAGGGTGCTCCCGGAGGCTGGCTGCAGAGCCCTGGCTCACTAACACTTAGAGGGCTGAGAGGACTGTTTTCAGGAATTACAATGCTGGAGAAATAGCTCAGCTGTTAAAGGCTAAGGCTCACAACTAGAAACTGAAGGAATCCCACCATACAGAACACTGGATCTGCTACTCATGAGCTTCCCCAGGCACAGACTCAGAGCTGGGTGACATACTTACTCTTGCTGGGGCTGCCCACACTGTCATAGCCCCCGAAGGTCTCAGCCCTCCGAGGTAGGCCTGCAGAGACACCTCCCTCCTCCACTTGGCCACTGGTGCTGCCCAGCTGCCGGCAGATCAGGCTCTGGATGCCCTCAACTATGGGGAAGAGGTGGGGGACATGAGTTAATGGGCAATGGGGGCTATGCCAGTGGTAGCAGGGAGTCCAGACCTGAGCCAGGAGCAAGTGTGGCAGTGAGTGCTGGCATGATAGGTATACACTATTACCTTGGCTTAGACAGTGCTGAGAACAGAACCCAGTGCTAGGCAAGCACTCTAACAATGGAGCCCCATCCTGAGCCATTTTCCTCAGCGTCTAAGGGACAGGCCAAGAAAACCGGCAGCCAGTGGGTTTGAAAACAACTCATCTTGGAGGCAGGCTCCCTAAGTTCAGGAACTTCTGAAGGGTGGCATGCTAAGATTCAGGAAGTCAACAATGCACAAATCTCAGGAAACTTACCAGAAGTTATATAAAAATAAAGGACAGCTGGAGAAAAGAGACTATCTGTCCAGCCAACTTTGCCTGCAAGTCGTGAAGGGAGCTCCAGGGTCCCAGGTTTCATTAGTTGTCACCTAAGCTGGGGTGGCTTTCAGTGATGCAGCTACCTTTAAGTTGTAAGTAATCCCTCTCTCATGCTCCTAAGTGACCCCAACAAACTTACTGGTTCACCTAGTAGGACTGGTGTTATTGCTACTTTGGTCTGTCATCAGTTTCCTATCTGGGATGAAGATGTATGTGTTCATGTCTCCTCAAAAAAAAAAAAAAAAAAAAAAAAAAAAAAAAAAAAAAAAAGACACAACATATAGAGAGGAGCCATATGAGCTCTGTGACTTGTCTCTCCAGCTTGTCAGGGTACCTGCTGCAATCTAGGTCCCAAGCCAGGCCTAGGGATGTGATGCACCAGTCCCTACCTAGGTCCAGTAGTAAACACATAATGTTAAATGAGAGCCAGACGGGAAGGCTGCCCACAGGGGTAAGGTGGTCTACAAACCCTTCAGTGACCCTCTACCATTTCAAAATCTCTAGACAGGTGAAGAGAGGAGAGGAGAACATTCCTAATCCATGTACCAGATTTATGAGTGTCATTGGAGGCCGAGGACACTGGCCTCAGGAGATAGGTGGAAAGGCAGTGCAGATATGGCTCAGGGAGAAAGACAGCCATTGGGTCTATACTAAGCTGTGCAGCAAAGGGCTGAGTGGTCTGACCTGCTGATGAAAAAGAGCCATCAAACATGGGCTGCCCACCCTGCTGGACACATGGGGCCCTGATGGCTGGCAGAGCGGTCTCTGCATGGTCAGAGTAGAATATGCGTGGAAACAGCAGGTTATATGTACCCAGTGGCTTACAACATGGCTGTTAATGCCTGGCAGCCTGCTAGAGCTAGAGGTGGGGTTATGGGGGGGGAGGGGGGGCTGTCCTAGAAAAGGAGGATCTGTATCAGGGAATTTTATTTTACTAAGAAAATTTAGATTACATTTTCCTTATTTATTTATTGTATATGACTGCACACATGTGATACAGATCACATGTGCCAGTCAGAGGACAACTTGCACGAGTTGGGTTCTCTCCTTCTAGCATGTGGATCTCTAGGACTGAACTCAGGCTGTCATGCATAGAGGTTAGCACCCTTACTTGCCGGCCATATTTTAGGCCCAAGCTTTGTATTTTTCCCCTTGAAGACATGTCTTTCATGCATCCTAGACTAGCTTCAAACTCATTATGGAGCTAAGGATGACCTTGAACTTCTGGTTCCCCTGCCTCAGTCTCCTAAGTGCTGGGATTCCAGGGCTTCACATACGCTAGCAAGCACTACACCAACCGAGCCACAGCCCTAACCAGTAGTCAACTATAGACCTCTGGGGTTAACCAGGTCACCTAAGGAGTGTTTGTTGGTTGGCAGAGAAAGTGCTTAAAAGATCTGGGTGTAGCTTAGTTGTAGAGCTCTTGTGTATGCTGGGTTCCCTGGATCACAAAAAAGCAAAATGACCATGGTCTTGGGTGAGGTCAGCCACACAGAGTCCTGGGCCTGGTTCTGGCCTCCCATGCAGCCCACCCTTACAATATCCTAACATACTACAGTGGGGCGGCTGACTTACTCTCACTCATGGCTGATCTGAGAATCTGCTCCCCTCGAAGGGTCTCAGAGGGGTCCCCGCCTCCTCGGAAGAGGCCTCGGCAGTGGGCTGACTCCTCCAAGCCACTCAGCTCAGCCATCTCCAGGTAGATCTGCTGCTTCTCCAGAAGGCTCTGGGCGATCATCTGGTCCTTCAGGCTCAGTCGCTCTACGGAGCACCCAGAGGTAATAGTCAGCCTCAGAGACCTGCCCTGGAGCCAGGCTGTGAGGTTGGAGCCCTACTGACCTGTAGCCTCAGAGGCACACTCCCAGCCTCCCCCAAACACCACTAGCTTCACAATGTGGTCCTGTCCTCTCGAGTCCTCCTCCCATTCTCACCAGGAACACCAAAATGGCAGGTAAGAATGAACAGGCAGGAGTCGGGGAATAGAGAGCCTTGAAAGACAATATACTTTTTTAATTAAAAAAATTTCATTACATCTGCAAGGTCAGGGGACAACTTGCAGGAGCTGATTCTCTTCATTCTGTAGAATCTGGGTATTGAGCTTGGGTCATCAGGCTTGGCAACCAAGTGTCTACCCACTACGCCATCTTGCCAGTCCAGGTTTTTTTTTTTTTTTTTTTTTTTTTTTTTTTTTTTTTTTTTTTAACATTTATTTGCTGGACATGGTGGTGCATGCCTTTAATCCCAGAACTTGGGAGGCAGAGCCAGGAGGATATCTGATCTACATAGTGAGTTCTAGGACATCAGGACTACAGAGAAAAAGATCCCGTCTCAAAAAAACAAAACAAAACAAAACCCCCAAACAAACCCAACCCATATTTGTTTGTGTATATGAGGGTACATGAATGTACTTGGGTGTGACATCTGTGTGCATGCATGGAGGCCAGAAGATGACATTAGGTGTCCTCTATCACTCTTCTATTCACTTGTGTGCATACATGGAGGTCAGAAGATGACATTAGGTGTCCTTCTCTATCACTCTCCTATTCATTTAGGGCAGAGTCTCTTCTCAAAATTGGGGCTCTATTTTCTCAACTATGCTGTAAGCCAGCAAATCCTGGCAATCCTCCTGTCTCTGCACTTCTCAGACCTTGGGTTACAGGTGTTGGCAGGACATCTAGCTTGTTATGTGGGGGCTGGTCTGAACTCAGGCCCACATGGTTGTGCAGTGAGTGTTCTTAACTGCTAAACCATCTCTCCAGCCCCTGGTTTGTTTTGCTTGTTTATTTGAGTTAGAATTTTGCTCTTCCCCAGGCTGGAGATCCCCAACTTGACCTCCCAAGTACAAGGATTATAGGTGTGATCTACCACTCCTAGCTTAAAAACTTAAAAGTTAAATTCTTAAAATTTTATGTTAGAAAACTGATGGCTTTTTAAATTGTTTTAAAAATTAATTAATTAATTAATTAAATATATATGAGCACTCTATCTATATGTATGTCTTTATGCCAGAAGAGGGCATCAGATCCAATATAGATGGCTGTGAGCCACCATGTGGTTGCTGGGACTTGAACTCAGGTCCTCTGAAAGAGGAGCCAGTGCTCTTAACCAGTGTTCCATCTCTTTAGCCCTCTAATAAACAACTTTTTTTTTTTTTGTTTTGTTTTGTTTTTTTGAGACAGTGTTCCCTGTGTAGCTTCGGAGCCTGTCCTGGAACTAGCTCTTGTAGACCAGCATGGTCTTGAAATCACAGAGATCCGCCTGCCTCTGCCTCCCGAGTGCTGGGGTTAAAGGTGCATGCACCACCAACGCCCGGCTTGAGGGTTTGTTTTAAACACTTATTTCCTTATTTGTGTACCACGTGGCAAGCATGCCATGGATTGCATGTGGTGGTCAGAGGACAACCTGCAGTTGTTGGTTCTCTCTTTCTATTATGTCAGGTCCAGGAATTGAAACTGGGTTGTCAGGCTTGGTGTCAAGCTACCGTTACATGTTGAGCCATCCTGTCAGCCCAGAACACGGGGTTGTTATTAACTAGTGAATTTCTTGATTTTTGAGACATCATCTTGTATACTCTTGGTTCACCTGGTCATAGCTATATGACACAGGCTGGCTCTGAATTCTCATCAATCCTCTCTCACCTCCGCCTTAGAGTTTATAAATCTTGGGGCTGGTAAGATGGCTCAGTGGTTACGAACATTTGTTGTTCTTGGAGAGGACCCGGATTTGATTCCTAGCATGCACAGGGTGGCTCACAGCTGCCTGTAACTCCCTCTTCTGGCCTCTGCGTGCATTGCATGCATATGGTACTAGTCACACATACAGGCAAATGTCCACTGCCCATACACATAAAATTAACAACAACAACAACCAACCCTGGTTCTTTTGAGTAAAGGGTTTTCTTTCCTCTGTGTAGCCCTGGCTGCCTGGAAGTCACTTTGTAGACAGGCTGGTCTTCAACTCAGAGACCCTCCTGCCTCTGCCTTCTGAGTGCTGTTACTAAAGGCCTGCATTACCATGCCCAGCTCCATTTACTTATTTTTTATTGTGATGCTTTTTTTTTGTTTAAATGATTTACTTATTTATTTTATGTGCATTGGTGTGTTGCCCAAATGTATGTCTGTATGAGAGTGTCGGAGCCCCTGGAAATAGAGTTACAGTAATAAGCTGCCATATGGCTGCTGGGAATTGAACCTGGGTCCTCTGGAAGAGCAGCCATTCTCTTAACCACTGAGCCATCTTTCCAGCGTGATGCTTTATTTTTAATCATTTACTTATTCATTCATTCATTCATTCATTCATTCATTCATTCATTCATTCATCTATTTATTTTTGAGGCAGTATTTGGCTCTGGCTAGATTTGCTCACCACATAGCTGAAGATGACCTTGAACTCCTGACACATATCCCTGTGTATGTAGTGCTAGGGTTGAAACCCATGGGCCTCAGGCAAGCTGGTCAACCACCCTGCCTCCTGAGCCGTATCCCTGAACTGAACTCTTGAAGAGGGTGAACTTTATGATATGTGCATTAAATCTCAATGAAGCGGCGTGAACTTGATGAGTTGATGAGGGTCTATGGTGACAAAGGGACCTGACCACAATGCTGACCCCTCTTACCTTGGAAGTCCCGGAGTCTCATGGTACGGGCTTCAGTCATCTTTCTTTCCTCAGTCTCACTGAAAGGGCCCTCCTCCTCATCAGGACAGCTGCAGAGAAAGGGGACAGCTACCATCAGTGTCCTGACATCAGTACCGCAGAGCATCCTTTTTCTTTCCCCCTATGCTGGTGAGAAGGCTTGGGGGGGTGGGGGTGGAGCCCAGATCTACAAGACTGTCTCAGCAGAATAGGCAGAGTGACAGAGGACATCTGACACCCTCTCTGGCATCGGTGCCTGAGTTTAATTCCTAGGACTCACATAATATAAGAGAATGACTGAGCCCCGCCTTCACAGGCATGCCATGGCCCCACCTTCTCGCCAATACAGAAATGTAACTGAAAAGATTACTGAGTCAGTGCCTGTATAGCTATGAAAGCGGTCTTCCACTGACCTACACCTCCCTGCACCGCTGATTTTTGTTGTTGTTGATGCTGTTTGCTTTTCATGACAGTGTTTCTCTGTGTAGCCCTGGATGTCCTCAAACTCAGAGATCTACCTGCTTCTGTCTCCTGAGTGCTGGGATTAAAGGTGTGTCAACAAATAAAAACAACAATCATTAAGGCATCATGCGTCCCAGGCTAGACTTGAATCTACTATGATCAAGAATGACTCTGAATTTCTGATCCTCCTGCCTCTACTCCTTCAAGTGCTCGGGTAACTGGGCATGCACAATCACAACCAGTTTATATGGTGCTGGGGCTTGGACTGAGGGCTCTGTGCATGCTGGGTAAGCACACTACCAAGTCACAGTCCTATGTTCTGTACTCTGCTTTTGTGAGGGACTTAGCTTGGAGGCAGAGGAGGGAGAGACAGAGAGCCAACACATAACAGCTCTCAAAGGGTCAGGGCTTAGCCAGAACTTGTGATCCTCCTGCCTCAGCTTCCTGATGTAGGGGGGTATAGCACCACATTCCACTTCTTGCACAAGTTTTTTTTTTCTTTTAATATTGATACATTTAATTTATATGTATGTGTGCACAATGCCACGTATGTGCAGGTAGGGGGGGCCAGAAAAAGGCATCGGATCCCCTGAACTGGAATGATAGGCAGCTGTAAGCCACACTATGTGGGTCCTCTGCAAAAGCAATAAGCACTGTTAAGCACTGAGCCATTTCTCCAGCTCCCATGCATGGGCTTTAAGTGCCCAGCTGTGACATGGAGGAGGTGGTCAGTGCACAGCTTACTTGCAGGTGACCGACTGACACTGGAGGTTGTGGACCACTCAAAGCTGAAGTTCCTGAGTGTGGTGGGAATGTGGATCAGGAGGCTGGTGTCTGGACTGCTTCCCCTGCCCCCGCCCCCGTCACCCAGACTCTGGTTCAGGTGGGTGGAAGAGCAGGCACTGGGCAGGAGTCTTGAGGGATTTTACAACCTGCTCCAGCGAGGCTAGCCTCAGACTGCTTATCTCCTTTAGAATTGCCTGGCCCCTCATGTACCTTATACAGAGATCCCCAGGCCTTCTTAGCACTGTGACAGGCTGAACATTGTTAGAAGGAGCAGGAACAGCTTCCATTAGTTCATTTATGAGAAGTGATTTCCTCAGGGGGCTGTGTGGCTCAGTTGGTAGGGAACTCATGAAGCTTGGGTCCCATCCCTGGCACTGTATGAACTGGGTACAGTGGTGCATACCTTTCATCTCAGCACCTGAAGGGTCATCCTTGGCTACATAGTGAGTTGGAAGCCAGCATGGGCTACATGAGATTGTTTCTCAAAATCACACAACAACCAACCAACCAACCAACCAACCAACCAACCAACCAACGAAGGGATCTGTCTGGGAGGTCAAAGTCAGAAGAGAATAGCTTCTCAATCCAAGAGCATGAACTGAGAAGGAAGAGCTTGCCTGAGGAGGCAGGCGACCCTGGGCTCACCTCTCAACGGCTCGGCGGATGTGGGCCATCCAAGTGTTCCTGTCTTCTTTGGAACTGGTATAGATCTCATACATCTCTGGACCTTGCATGGAGGCACTGATCAGAAACATGGCCTTCTCCTCATTGGCCACCTCTCTCACAATGAGCTTTTGCAGAGAGATGACAGGTGGCTTTGAGTCCTGTATGGGGAAAGGTGATGGAAACTTAACTGTTGTCCTGCTGAAGGCACATGATCTTGGCTGTTGTTCCTCATGTATGTGGTTTCCCATTGGTCTGAAATTCACCAAGCAGGGATACAAGTGTGTGCCACCACACCCTACATTTTTATGTGGGTTCTGGGGAGTGAACTCAGGTTCCGTCTTCAAGCACTGAATTGCCATGCCAGCACAAAACAGCAATGTTTTACTAATTGGAGACTATTTAAGTGACATCCTAGTATTGCCCTTTGAGGCCTTGAGCTCACTGTGAAACCCTGCTGGCCTCAAGCTTACAGCAATCCTGCCTCAGCTTTCAGTTGTGAATCACGATGCCCAGCAAAGGCCATGGCTCTTTTTTTGTCATTAATGTTTTTAAACATTTTGGCCGGGCAGTGGTGGCATGCACCTTTAATCCCAGCACTCAGGAGGCAGAGGCAGGCAGATCTCTTGAGTTCGAGGCCAGGTTGGTCTACAGAGTGAGAACCAGGCCAGGCTCCAAAGCTACAGAGAAGCTCTGTCTTGAGTGCATGCACATGCATGCATGCATGATGCATCTGTGGAGATCAGAGGACAGCATGTGGGAGTTGCTTCTCTCCTACCATGGAAGGTTCTGGGCATCAAGCTTGGCAGCAAGCATCTTTACCCATGGAGCCACCTACTGGCCCCAAAAGACATGTCAAGTAGTGTTCTGAGTTAATTTTCCAGACCCTGTTATAATTCATATATTAGTGTTAAGTCCAAGTACCTCAGAATGTGATGGTGTGTAGAGTTAGGGCCTTTAAAGATACAATCATGTTAAATAAGATTTGTATTTCCAGTGGTCCAACCCAATAGACTTGGTATCTTTATAGGACTGTAAGACTGGGCCAGGTGGGGAGTCACAGGCTTGTCACCCCAACACTTATGATGAAAGTAGGAAGTTCAGAAGTTCAAGGCTGGCCTCAGCTAAACAGTGAGTTCTAGTCAAACCTGGGCTGTATGAGGCCCTGGATTTACAAACGCTGAGGTGACCTGTGTATACAATTAAGCCCAGCTTGGGTGGCTTTTCTTTTTTTGTGTGTGCTTTTCTGCATAACAACTCCTGAACATATTAACACTGGGTGACTGTGGTTGTCTTGTCCCTGCATTTTTGGGGACTAAGATAGGCTACTTTATGTCTCACCTGTAACACAGTATCTGGGGTACACAGTGATCCACCTGGAGAAATCGCAAAAGGAGGCAGGAGGACAAGAGGGTTTAGGAAGATGATGGTGCTTGCGTGTTTCCTGAAAGTTTTGGGCCCAAGTGGCTCAAGTTTATTAGTGTCCCACAATCTCCTGATAGGGGGTTGAGGGGGAACATATAGAAATCACAGTGACATCTATGTCCTATGGTGTGCTGAGCTAAAGAGGGGACAGCTTTGTGAAAAAACAGTCTGACCCAGTTTATAGAAAGGCGGGACAGGGTGACAAGGGATGTAAGAATTCCTGAGGTACTTTGAGATCAACAGATGGAATCTTCCACTTCAATGATTTCTTTCTGTCCTATAAAATACTAAGTCCCTGGCCTTGGCCAGCTTAGTCACCGCAGACTGCTGTCCTTCGTTCTGATTAAAAGACAATCTGCATTGGGAGAGGTAAGGGTCCTCTTATGTCCACATCACCTCCATCAGTCCTGATCTACCACTTGGTGCTGAAAATTCGGGAGCTGTTTTGGGGTCCCACACCACACTCCTTCCCTCTGGTCCACCTTTCCTCCTTCCCCTGACCCATCTCTCTCATTTTTCTGATGCCCATCCATCCCATGGAGGGCAGGGCTACTCAGGGGCCAGGCTTACTCAGGGACTGAACAGCTGACAGTCATGATGTGGAACCTTCTAGGTCTTAGTGTCCTCTGTCTTTTCTCTATGTAGACGGCACAAACCCCAGTTGGGGGTTTTATCAGTGTGCCGTGTAAACACAGCTCAGGTCCCTTCTTCTACTCTCTGCCCCCATCCCCTTCTCTACAGACCTCCAGAGCAGAGGCCTTTTGCCATTTGCTATACGAGTACATTCAACATCTACACACCAAGGTAATGTTGTTTTGGCCAGACCCTGGGGCCTGTGAGTACCCAGGGATGTTGGATAGCAGGACAGCCACACACAGAGATGATGGGGCTGGGAAGATGGAGGATGCTTGAGGTCATGAGTTAGGGGCTAATCAGGCAGCAACTCGTTGCTTTCTCCATAGCCTTATGGTTATGGGCAAGCCCTCTGAACCCCAGTGTAGAGAATGTGTCTGTGAATCTGTAATCTGGGCACTCCAGGAAGGAAGTGTTTAACCCCAGACCAGACACTGCTCAAGTTATGTCTAACTGCAGCCCTCTCCAGCCTCAGAGCAGATTCTGGCATCCCAGCTGTTGTGGGAAGACAGACACCTGTCTGAGTCAGTAGACTCTCCAGGAGCCATTCTCAGTTCCCCCTGTAAGTTCACGTACCTCAATTAGACGAGCTTCTTCTCACTTCTCTCACATTTTCAGAGTGGCACATTCCTACCCTGGAATTCTGTCCCTTCTCTCTGCCACCCGGAAACCAGAGACAGCTACATGAACCCGCCTCTCTCCTCTCATACCTATAAAGAATGGTCCCTATTCTGCCTTGTGAGACTGAACTCTGTGCAGAGTCCCTTCCATGCTGCCATCTGCTTATGGCATCACTCTTTTTTTTTTTTTTTTTTTTTGAGACAGGGTCTCTGTGTATCCCTGGGTGTCCTGGAACTTGCTCTGTAGAGCAGGCTGGCCTTGAACTCACAGAGATCTGCCTGCCTTGCCTTTGCCTCCTGAGTGCTGCTGGGATTAAAGGCATGTGACACCACCACCCGGCTACTAATTCTTTCAATAAACTTCTTATGCAAGGACAATTGACCTCGGTGTCCCCTTGAGACCTTCCCACCTGATACCTTTCAATGAGGACCAGAGCCACACCAGGTTCTCAATTCTCTGTACATTCTAGTCCTGTCCACACTGGCTGGAACTTTCTGGAAGGATCACGAGACAGGGTCTCTTTCAGTCTGTTTTCCTCTCCATGTCTTGTCTTGGATGTCCCCTCTCTGGGGGCCACCACCGCATAGCCCCAGCAAGTAGGCCCAGGAAGACATTAGACACATACCACAGAAGCGAACACGTATCTCTGGTCCTTTTCTTGCAGTAGCAACAGCACATCAGTCAAGAGGACAGCGAGGACGTCTGCAGAGAGCAGCACAGGAGGAGGTCTTAGAGGTCACACGCTCAAAGGGCTCAAGACAGTTTAAGCACCAGGATGCTTCAACCTCTTGTTCCTCAAGTTCCCAGTCTAGCTCACCCCTTTCCACAAAGTCCCTGAATTTTGAGATTCAGAGACCTGGAATGTCAGAGGCTCCCACTCAAGCTAGAGCTCCAATGTGTAACTCAGTCCTTCCTTCCTTCCTTCCTTCCTTCCTTCCTTCCTTCCTTCCTTCCTTCCTTCCTTCCTTCCTTCCTTCCATTCGTTTTAGTTTCTCTGTGTAGCCTTTGGCTTTCCTTGAACTCTGCAGACTTTACTGGCTTCAAACATAGAGATCCGCCCACCTCTGCCTGGCAAGGGTTTATTTTTAACTATGTGTGTGGTGTCTCTGTGCGGTTCTGTGCATGTGTGTGCAATTGCTCTCAGTGACTAGAGGTGCTGGATCCCTGGCACTGGAGTTACAGGCAGCTGTAAGTTGCCCAGTGTAGGTTCTGGGAACTGAATTTAGACTCCTTTAAGAGTAGCGGGTATGCTTACAGGCTGTGCCATCTTTCCAGCCCCTCATTTATTGCTGTTACTGTTTGTATATATGTGTCCATGTTCGATGTGTATATATGTTCTTGTGGTGTACACACATTTGTGTGGGTATGCCTGTTCATGTGTGTGTATGTGTGTGTGTGCACTCATGCACACATTTGTGTGGGTGCACCTGTGCATGTGTATATATGTTCATGTGTGTGCAGATATCTGTGCACACACTAGGGATTGATACGGAGTGTCTTCTGTGATCACTCCCTGATTTTTTTTTTTTTTTAATGTGTATATGGCATGCAGGGGAATGGGCTGGGAAGGGAGGGAGGTGTGTGTATACCCTGGTGTGTATGTGAAGGTTGGAGGACAAGTTGTGCAAGTTGGTTCTATTCTTCCACCACATGTGGGTCACAGACACTTAACTCAGGATGCTAGGCTTGGCAACAAATATCAGTGCACAGTGAGCCATCTTCGCCCTCCACCTGACTTTTTTTAGATAGGGTTTCTAAACTAGGGTTAAAACAGTGTAACCAGCACTAGGGTTACAGGAATGTATCACCATGCCTGGCTAGGGATCTAACTCAGCACTTTACCCACTGAGCCATCTTTCAAGCCTCTAGGTGGTTTCTGTGTTGAAATGGACTTTTCTTTCTGTCCCAGGTTATATCTTGTCTTTTGCTGCAAAGATGCAGGCAGGGCTAGCCTCAGCTCCCTTGAGTCCCAGTCCCCCTAGGTGCCTATCCCTGTGTGAATATCTCTCACATGAGACTTTTGCACATGAGTGTTGCAGGGATTTGGGGGGAAGCCTTTTTTTTTTTTTTTTTTTTTTTTTTTCTTCTTTTAAGGCAGGGTTTCATGGCTCCTACTCTGGTCTGTAGCTGAGATGACGCCGAATCCCCAATCATTTTGCTTCTACTTGACGTTTACTTGGTGGTGTGCACGGAAACCAGGGCCTCATGCATGCTAAGCAAGCGTTTAACAACTGACTACAGCCCCGTCCCTGGAAGAGCCATTTCTGATGCTCTCATCTAATTATATACTCTTCCTCCAGCCACTTCTCTGTACTCCACTAGTTTCTTTGAACCGGAAAACATTCAAATGTTGCAAGTTTGGTCTTGTTCCCATCACTCAGCTTGGTGCCAATTCAGGATGGAATATCAATCCAAGACAGAGCCCAGGGCATCAAGATGGTGCCTACCACTCTAACACAGCAACCAGAACTCCAAGGTTGTGTCATGTAGAGCCCATGTGACACCCACCAGAGGTGGCCAGAGGCAGAAATTTACCTTTTAAGCGCCCTGATGTGGACTTCCAGCACAAGGTGCCTTCCAGGTGGAGCTGGCGCTGCAGCATGTCCTCCTTGCGGAAGGTGAGTCCATTCTTGAGTTTGCTGGACGACTTCAGATCCACCTTGCCTGCGATCTCCCTGAGGCGCTGGCCCTTCTCATACTCACTGACTCTGGCATCTACTTGTGAGATGATGTCTTTGATGAGGTTCAGGGCCTGGCTCAGGTCTTTGTAGTCCTCAGTGCCAGCTGTCACACATAAGCAGAGGTAGCACTGTTTGTGTGCCCTTGCTCACAAACACAACAGAAGTGGTTATGGTTACATCTGGATAGGATCTATGAGGTGTGTTCCCTAGGGCCAGGGACATTGCTTAGAGGTCTTTCAGAACTCTCTGCCAACTGTAATTTCTGAGATGAAATGGTTCTCCAAAATTAGTAATAGCCCAGAGTGTAATGAACTCTGTTTCTGTTTGTATTATCTTTCGAAACAGGATCTCATGTAGCCCAGGTTGGTCTCAAACTTCCTATAGAGAATGACTTTGAACTCCTGATGCTCCTGCCCCCTACCTCCCAGTCCTAGGATTACAGGCCTGCAATATGTGTGTTGTGAGGGTGAAATTTTTTTTTTTTTTTTTTTTTTTTTTTTTTTTTTTTGTGGCAGGCATGGTCTCTCCACATGCCCTGGCTGTCCTGGAACTCACAGAATTCCGGCTATCTCTCTGCCTTGAGTGCTGGGACTAAAGGCGTACACCACCCCACCCAGCCTTTGCATTTTCTTTGTTGAAACAAGGTAGCTTGTTCTGTAGCTCCAGTTAGCCTGGAATTCAGTGTGGATCAGATTGGCCTCAAACTTGCAGAAGATCCTCCTATCTAAACTTCTTGCCACCATGCTTGGCTTAGAGTGGTGGTCAAATGGCACAAACTACCCAACACACCATACCCACTCCTATCACTATTATTGACAGATTTCCCTCAAGTCCTTTAGCTCTTCATAAAATGCCTCCTTCCACTTCCTGTTTCAATCAACAGAAGGCCCTTACCACCTGAAGGACGTAGTAGAGAAACTTGCTATTTTCTCATGGTCCAAATCTACCAGGGATATGAAGGGGTGGTCATTGTGCCTGCCACCATGAGCAGCTGGCTTGCTATACAACCATTCTACTGTGTTCTTTGTGGCTATCAGCATGCCACCCTTTTATTCTTCCTGTTTTACTATGGAATCAGGGTCTCATAATTTATCCTAGGTTAGTATAGAGCATGTATATCCTTCCTGCCTCCCTGTTGTGTATCAATTTCTTCTAAATTAAAACATTCTATCCTGGAGGGATGTTATTAAGACTCAGGAAGTAAATAACTCACAAGTCTCACTAAGTTCCTGAAACTCACCAGAGTCACATAGCAGGTCTCCTTAAGATTATAAAAGCAATAAGGAATGCTGAGGTGAGGGCATGCTCCAATTTGTTTAGTTGCCTGTAAGTTCTGCAGAGAGATGCGGGGTTCCAGCTTTTTTGAGTTCTTTTTTTTTTTTGTTTCCCTGTGGCTTTGGAGGCTGTCCTGGAACTAGCTCTTGTAGACCAGGCTGGTCTCGAACTCACAGTGATCCACCTGCCTCTGCCTCCCGAGTGCTGGGATTAAAGGCATGCGCCACCACAGCCTGGCTTTTTTTGAGTTCTAATCCAAGCTATTGTGGCTTTTGGTGATACAGTTGTCTTCAAGCCATCCCTACTCCTGTGCTTTATCCATGCTCTTAAGTAACCTCAAATCATTGGTTCATCAAGTTGTCCTTTGATGGTAGGTTACATTGGTCTGTTGTCAGTTCTCAATCTCTATCTGGGATGAACAGACATTTGTTAATGTCTCCCCAGGAAAAGTGTTACATAATACTAGGCCTCTTAAGTGCTGGGAGAACACCTGTGCTCACTGTACCCAGCTCAGATCTTGCCCTAGCCATATAACTCAGAGGTCATTTTTCTTTTATTTTTAAATTTTACTTTATGTGTATAGGTATTTTGTCGAATGTATGTTTGTGGAGGACAGAAGAGGACACAAGATTCTCCAGGAACTCACGTTGTTCATGCTTGTGAGACACCACCCAGGTGCTAGGACTCAAGCCCACGTCTCTGGAAGAACAGCTCTCAAATGCCTGGGCCATCTCTCTAATCCCAGAAATCGTTTCTTAATAACTCAGGAATCATTTTGTTCTCATCTAGTTCATGTCTAGTTTAAAGATAATGACCTGGGACCTGCCATGGCCCAGCCTTTGCTAAGGGCAAAGGTTCACCCAGCTCCTGTCCTCATGTGCTGACTGCCTGGCACCCAGCATAGTGGATTACAAGAGGGAACGTGGCCAGTCCACCGATGAACTCCAGAGCAGGTGGATTGAGACAGCCCTGCACCCTAACCCATGAGTATAGCAGAGTGTGTTCCCACCTTCTGTGTTCTGGATGATGCGCTCCACCAGGACTGGGTACTTGGTTATACGCTGTGTGACCAGAAGGATACACTCCTGAACTCCCAGCCGTCGCACAATGGAGAAGTTTCCAATTTTCTGTGAAATGGAAAATAAGTAGCTTGTATTAATTTCTTTTTCTCTCTTCTTCTTTTATTTTTGGGTGTTTTTGAGATAGACAGGGTCTCTCCATGTGAGTCCTGAAACTCACAGAGATCTGCCACAGACCAAACAGTTTATAATTAATATAAGCCTCCGTGTGTTTATTTGGGTCTAACTGGCTGTGGGACCAGATGGGACAGAAACATCAGTCTACACGCATAGATACACATAAATATAAAAGTTGAGTAAGATAGGATGGCCCTATGATCTCAGCACTCTGAAGGCAGGACTTCAAAGGCATCCTGGGCTACATAGTAGGTTCAAGGATAGGTAACCTGGGCTGTATTAGAAACTGCTTCAAAACAATCAAGAAGAACAGAACAAGAAAACAAACAAGAAAGGAAGACAGAGCTAGTTATGGACTATCTTGAGGAACACTTGGGTATCCAGTATGTGTTCACATTTGTACACACATGGACTCTGATCCTTGATCCTGACTGACAGCAAGTGTCCCAGAACCCTCCAGAACCAGCCTGGGTATCCATCCACCTTTGTTCCGAATCTGGCTCTCTAGTCACTTTTGATTTACACATATGTCTTTTAACTGAGAACCAAAGTGGCCACTTGGCCTGTTTTTTGGTGGTGCTGAGAGCAGCTCCCTGCACGCGGCTGAGCGTGGTGCTATTCGGGGCTGGTCAACAGCTATCTTTTTATTTTTATTTCATTTTATTTTATATGCATTTGTCCACATTCATGTCTGTGTGAGGGTGTAGGATCCCCTGGAACTGGAGTTACAGATAGCTGTGAGCTGCCATGCGGGTACTGGGAATCGAACCCGGGTCTTCTGGAAGAGCAGCCAGTGCTCTTAACCGCTGAGCCATTTTTCTAGCTCCCCCCTCCCTTTTAAAAGGCAGGGTCATATGTAGCCCAGGCTGGCCTTGTACTCTCCATGTAGCTTAAGGATGACCTTACACCTCTAATCTTTCTGCTTCTGACTTCCTAGTTCTGGATGGCAGGCATGCAGCAAACACACCTGGTATGTGGTGCAGGGATGGAACCCAGGGCTTTCGTGTGTGTGTGTGAGCTACACTCTCAGCCCCAAGTCAGAGAGGTCTCTTAAGCTTACCAGAGTGTCACTGAGGAGCTTCTGAAGAGTCCCTGCGTACTGCTTTCATAGGATCTCCCCCCACTACTGCCTCTGCCCCACTATCCTTTCCTCCTCTTTTCTTCCTTCCCCTCCTTCCTTCTCCTCTCTCTCTTTTGTGAGAAAGGGTCTCCTGTAGCCCAGGTTGGTCTCAAACTCCCTATGCAGCTGAGGACCTTGAATTCCTCCACCTCCTAAGTGCTGAGATGAACAGGTGTGTATCACACCTGTTTTGTTTTTTAGTGTTTTGTTCTTTCTTTCTTTCTTTCTTTCTTTCTTTCTTTCTTTCTTTCTTTCTTTCAATACCTGTTTACTTAGTTTTGTTTATGTGCCCGTGTGGAAGTTAGAGGACAAGTTTCAGAGTCAGGTTTCTCCATCAGGTGGGGGCTGGGACCAAAATTAGGTCATCAGGCTTGACAACATCGACCACCTTTACCCACTAAGCTGTCACGACAGCCCTGTGGAGAGTCATAGGGACCAGAAAAAGGAGAAAGGTTTAGAGAATGCATACCTCACAGAACTCTAGGAAGCTGGCATGGCTTTGAAGGGTGGTTCCCTGGGTGGGACAATGCCTCAAAGGGCCCACATGGCTGGGTGTCATGGTACATGCCTGTAATTCTAGCTGGAGGCCAACCAGAACTATATACTGGTCTCAAAGGTAAGGACTGGGGGCATGTGGCTCAGTGGGTAGGGTGCTTGTCAAGCATGCATGAAATCTGGGTTCCATCCCTAGCAACACATAAACTGGCTGTGGTGATGCAGTCCTGTCACCCTAATACTTGGGAGGCAGAGACAGAGGCAGAATCCGGAATTCATGGTCATCCTTTGCCTCCCAGAGTGTTTATAGTCAGAATAGACTTCATGAGACCCTGTCAGCAAACAAGTGAATATAAGAGTGAGGCTGGCATGGTGGTCCACCCCGGGAATCACAGAACTCGGAAAGCTGAGGCAGGAGGACCTGCAAACTTGAAGCCTGACTGGGATGCATAGCAAGATCCTGTCTCAAAAAACCAAAACAAGAGCCTGGGATGTGTCTCAGTCGGTCATGGCTTGCCACCCAAGCATGAGGAATCACGTTTGTGATCCCTAGCACCTACGTAAAGCCTATGATGGTGCATTTCTTCAAACACTGTACTCTTGATGTGGGGTGGGGGTAAGAAACAGGGGATCCCTAGAAGCTCCAGGTCAGCTAGTCTGGTGGTGAACAATAAGAGTTGAAATCTCAAACAAGGTAGAAGGTAAGAACTGACACCCAAGGTTATCCCTCTGCCCGTGACAGATGTGCCATGGCATCACAGCACATATGTGTGTCCATACAAACACTGCCACACATCACATAGCCACATCCTCACACACACACAAAACACAAAGGTTTTTTGTTTTTTGTTTACCTTGATTAAGTTTTGAAACTTCTTGCTCTGCTGCAGCAGTAACTTGTAGTGACTGACAGCATCATTGTGGCCACTACAGAACACACCATATTTCTCTTTCATTCTCTCTCCGGTTTCCCCTGAGAACTGACATGGAAAGGTAATGGAAAAGTTAGCCGCACATGACCTGTGAGTGCTGCCAGAGTGTTGCCATCTAGCTCACATGGTTGTTCTGAGAACTGGATTTTTCCTGAATGTTTCCTCTCAGTACCTCCTCAAGGCCTCAGTGCCAGCATAAGGAGGTAAGAGCGCTGTCTTGAGCCCGGCCTGTCCCCACTCTCCAGGTGGCCTACTCTGTTGCTACAGATTAAGTGAGTCCTAAAAGTAAGATCTCCCTTTCATATTCATTTTCTGCAATGATCATGGAATGATTTCTTTCCCCCCCCTCTCCCCGCCCCCTTTTTGGCCTGGTTTGAATCAGGCATGCAGAGGGTCAACACAGAAGGGTCACAGACTTCAGACACACCTTGGTACCAGAAGACAAGGCTCTTCTTTGGCAACTTCCTGCCCTGGACTACTTGATGTGATACTTGTTTTCTGTGGAACTCGGTAACTCAACAGGAACTTTTTTGTTTTTCGAGACGGGGTTTCTCTGTAGCTTTGTAGCCTGTCCTGGAGCTCGCTCTTGTAGACCAGGCTGGTCTCCAACTCACAGAGATCCACCTGCCTCTGCCTCCCAAATGCTGGGATTAAAGGCGTGCGTCACCACTGCACGGTGATTTCTTTACTTTTTAGTGCAGGGTTTTTTGTTTTGTTTTTTTGGTTTTGTTTTGTTTTTTATGTTGTGAGGCTGACCTCAAACTCTTGACCTAACTCCCTTCTGCTCTGAGATCCACATGGTGGAAGGAGAGGATCAACTGTGACTTCCTTGTCCTCTGACTTCCTCAAGTAACCATGTCACATGCACAACCTCCCACATAATAGTTGATCTAAGTTGTGTAATGATGGGGGACACCTGACATCCACCTCTGGCCTCAACAGGTACCTGCACTGGCATGCATATACTACCGCAGTTGGGGGCTGGAGATGGAACTCAGTAAAGCATCTGTCCAGCACACCCGAAGCCTGGCACACTCCCCAGCCTTGCATAAACTGTATAGGACACTGATAATCCCAGCACTCAGGAAGGGGGAGTCAAGGGGATCGGTTCAAAGTTTAAGCCACGTGAGCTACCTCAGGTCCTGCCTGAACCTCCTCCTGTCCCCCACAAAACCCAGCAAAATATCAACCAAGGAAACAAAATCAGAAGATTTTACTTGATTTTTACTTTTGAGATGGGATCTCTAGTCCCAGGATGGACTTCAATTTGCTGTGTAGGTGAGGATGATGAACTCCTGATCCTCCCAAGTGGATTATAAGCAGGAACCACCCTGCCCAGGATCTATGCAGTTCGGGGGATGGTGCTCTATCAAACTGAGGCAGATCCCTAGCCAAAAATGCAATTCTGAACAGTGTTTAGCTGTGTTCGATTGCCATCCCAGCCTCAGTGTTCCCAGGACACGAGCAGGCTGGACAAGAGCTGGCACTGAACTGTGTGCTTTATAAGACAGTGGGCATGTGACAACCAGAGTCATAATCTTATCAGAGAGAAGGAAGACAGGGTGGAGAGAGGTGCCACCCATCCTGGGCAGTACCTACCTGCTGGACCAGGACATCCCCGATCTTCTGGATGACATAATTGCGGTCACTGCCCTCCTCCAGGAACTCCTGCCGGCGCTCCTTGAGGCGGGCAAGGAAGTGGCTGTGCATTTCCAGGAGGTCATCAGCACACGGGAACAGGCGGCTGATTGCCGGGCCACTGAACTGCAGCTCCTCCTGCAGGGCTCTGGAGTACACTTTCAGCATGATCTTGAGCGTGCGCACATGGTGCGCCATAGAGGTTTGAGTCAGCTTGACACTGACCTCTGCCCCCCCTTTTTTTTTTTTCCTCCCTCTCCTTTCCCCCCCCCCCCCCACCCCCTCTCTCTCTCTCTCTCTCTCTCTCTCTCTCTCTCTCTCTCTCTCTCACACACACACACACACACACACTCACACATTCTCTCTCTCTCTCTCTCTCTCTCTCTCTCTCTCTCTCTCTCTCTCTCTCTCTCTCTCCCCTTTTATGGGTGACCACGACCAGCACATGCATAGGGAGGCCGGGGGCCCTAGGTTCTATCCCCAGTTACTTCACAAACAACAAAACGAACAATAGAAAGAGGAAAGAGTCTTGGGCCTGTGGACATAGCTCTGCAGGTGAGGGTGCTTGCCTAGTGTGCATAAGGCCTTGGAGTCCATCCTCAACACCTCAGAAAAACTGGATATGGCATTGTACTGTTGAAGTTCCAGTATGTGGAAGGTAGAGGCGGCCAATTGAGGAGTTCAAGGCCATCTTCCCTTCAGTGCTGCTAGGGAGTGGGAGCAGGCTGACTCCTAAACTTGCTGTGCTGCCTATGTTGGCTTTGGCTCAAATGCCTTCCTTCCTGCCTTAGCGACAACAGGTGCATCCCATCACACTTGGCCTTGTGGCCTTTCTTAATTAGAAGTCTTCCCTCCCTGAACTGCTATGTGAGTCTGAAGTCAAAGGAGCTTGAAAAAAAGTATTTCGGAATGAGCTGTGGAATGTCCACATCCCAGAAGCCTCTGTCCTTGAGTTCAGGAAGGTCAGGATGAGGAACTTCTAGCCTGGGTAGGGTAGAAACTTGCACATATCTGCGTGTATGTAACCAAACACAGACCTTAATACACCCAATGTCTGTGGTCCATTTATGTGCTAAAACTTAACCTCTGTGTTATTAAGAGCATGGCTGTAGGAGTGCTTGTCTATCATGAACAAAGACTTGGGCACTCCCTGAGCCACTTCCCACCTCCCAGCATGCCATAAACCAGGTATGGTAGCCCAGGCTTGTCAACCCAGAACTCTGGCAGTGAAGGCAGGAGGATCAGAAGTTTAAGATCAACTTTGCCCACTTACAAGGCAAGTTTGAGACCAGCTTGGTCTACATCTGCAGAGCTGATGCAGACAGATGCGCACCATGCCTAAAAAACCCTTGCCTATAAAAACAAAACAAAACTAACAAAAGCAGTGAGCTTTTGGGAAGTAATTTGGTCAGGTAAGCAGAATCTTCACAGATGGGAAAATCTTTATAGACTAGGATCCTGGGTTGGCAGGGTGGCTCGGGGATTAAAGACTACATAAGCTTGGTGACTTCGCACGTTATGCAGACACAAAGCTCAGGAACACCCTGGAAGAGCAGAAGGACTACGAGAGCCTGAGGACCAGGCCAACTGCTGCATGATGGTCTTCTGGACAGAACAGGGATGCTACACTAGTGAAATATCAATAACAGGGTTACTTGCACAAGATCTGAAAGACCAAGACCACACACCAACACACATGGATGAATATTTCACAGGGCTCCATCCCCCACTCCAGGGATAAGACCCCAATCTTAAGGGGCCAGCCCTAAATACATGTACATAGGGGCAATGCTAACTGGACTCAGTAGGTGACATAGATACACAGTATGTGATACACACACACACACACACACACACACACACACACACACACACACATTATATATGTATGTATATATCAGAAGAGGTCAGGAACTTGAGAGCAGGTGGATGGTGGGGCACTGGAGGAGTTGGAGGGGATAGCGAGGAATGAAAATAATATAAATATAGTATACTCAGGTATGAAATTCTCAAATTAAAAATAAAAACAGTAAAAAAAAAAAACCCAATAAATCAAGGTTAGAGATGCAACCAGTGGCTGGCAAGTGCTTCACATCTGAAGTTAACATATACAAAAAAGAGGCTCCTGCCCCTCAAAGGATTTGAAGGCAGGGTAGGAAGGCAACATCTAAGACCAGGAAGCTGTTTTTCACCAAATACTGAGTCTGTGTCCCATCTTGGACTTCTTAGTCTCTAGAGCTTAGTGAGCAATAAACTTCTGTTTAAACACCACCCTGCTGATGACATTCTGTCTGAGCAGCCCAAACAGACGGAGACAGTCACCAACAAGGTAAGAATGAGTCAGCCCTGGGCACTTGGCCAGGCAGGTTTGCAGGGACCTGTGCTAACAAAGCCCTCCCTGGTACAACAGGTAGGGCTGTCCCAGGGGAGTGGCAGGTGGGGCAGATTACAGGGTCTCCTGAGAGGCTGGCTAAGTAGCTCAGACTCTTAGGTGAAATTAGGGGAAGAAAAAAAAATGGGGCTGAGATGAAGCACAGTCAGTCGACTGTTTGCTTAGCATGCACAGAGACCTGGGTTCCGTTCCCAGCCCTGCAGAAACCAGGTGTGTGTGTGGGGGTGTGTGTCTGTAATCCTAAGTACTTGCAAGGTGGAAGACTTTTAAGGTTATCTAAGGTTACATAGTGAGTTTGAGGCTGAGACTATCTCAAAAAACAAAAACAAAACAAAACAGGACTGGTAGGATGGCTCAGTGGGCAAAGGTGTTTGCTGCCAAGCTTAATGACCTGAACTGGATCTCTGTGTCCTACAAGGTAGGAACTGACTCTTCCAAGTTGTAGTCTAACTCTCCCCCTCCCCCTCTCTCCCCCCCTCTCTCCCTCCCTCTCCCTCACACACACACACACACACACACACACACAGACTTTTACAAAAGAATGCAAAGAGAAGAGTTAAGGAGAGGGCTGGCATGGTGGTACAGGCATTAGACACCTTACCATACAGGACGTCCTGTCTTTTTACCACCTCCTTCTTTTGTTTCTTGGCATATGCTAAATCCACAGAGAGGCTCCAGGACTCGGCCTCAAATTCATGGGCATCTGATTCAATCTCACACCTAAGTGAGGCAATGTAAGGATCTGGGGGAAAGACAGAAGGTTGTTGATAAGGCTGGAACTTGCCACATCTTCCTGTCCCCTTCATGGACACACCAAAGCCTCTGGCCTTTCCCTGTAGGGATGGGGCCATGTGGCATCCCTGGGAGAACAGAGAGGGTTGACCGTACCTTCTATGAAAACAGACTCAGCATTCGAGGACGTGAGTGACAGAGAGTCATCGGCCGTCTGCTTCAATTTTAAAAACACGGAGTCGGCTTCATCCATGTCTCCAGCGACTGGTCTGAGTGGAAATGGTGTTAATGTTTATTTTACAAAAAGAAATTAGGGCTAGTGAAATGCTTCTAAGCCTGGCTACCTGAGTTCAATCCTTAGACCCACACAGAGAGAACTGACTTCACAATGCTGTCTTTGGACTGCCACGTGTGCACAGCGCAGTGTGTGGCTAAAATAGGCATACATTGCTTGGAATATGTAAAACAAATGGGACTGTTGTTCCTAATTAGATAACTGGAGAACTTTCTGGATCCCAGCAGAACACTTGAACTTGCCACAGACCATCATTAAAAATTCAGAGACTGTTGGGCTAGGGATAGAGTGCAAAGTCAGAGCCCTTGCTCAGGATACTCAAGGCTCTGGATCCCACCCTCAACAAGGGGGAGGGAAGAAGAGAGAGAATCAGAGAAACAGAATTTGGAATTCTAAGTGGGTCCTCAGAGGGACAACATTAGGAGAAAAGCCTACGTTCCAGACCCAAGTGTGGGCTTGGGTTAGGTTGGTTCTGTGTATCAGCCGGTGGTTCAATCGTAAAAATGTGCTGTACTGGTCTAACAACAGACGCAATCGTGGCTGTGTGTGCTGAGGGAAGGCTGGGGAAGGAGTCTGGAGATTCTGCTACTTGCTCACACTTTCCTGGAAATGTAGAAATATTCTAGCAGTTGGGGGTGTGGCCCAGTGGCAGAACGCTTGCTCAACTATTGATGACATAGGAAGATGTTTCAGTCAGTCTGCGTGCAGGATGCGCAGCACGAATGTCCTTTATTAGAGACCACAGGGTTCCTCCTAACGACTTACAAGAGACTCGGCCTCACAGCAATATGAAGCAGGAGAGACATTTTATAGAGGGAAAAGAAAATCAGCCCCTTTCCCCAGACTCATCAGGGAACATGACCATATATGCTACGCTGTGTCTCTAACTCAATGCTGCTAGTCCTGTATTGATAGGACCACCTTGACATCCTGTGAAGCCACGTGAGGCATGACACTGAGCTGTAAGACCATAAGCGTGTTTTGGGGATGGAAGAAGACCTGCCCGGGGATGTCAACTCAGTATATTAGGCAAATTGCCACTACCTGTGGCTGAACATAGTCAGGGATACACACATTGGTTTTACAAAAAGAAATGTGTGTACTGGGCCAGTGAGATGGCTCAGTGAGTAGAGGTGCTTGCCTACAGGACCAATGACCTGAGTTCAATCCCTGGGTCCCAAACAGTGGAAGGAGAGGACCAACTCCTGAAAGTTGTCTTCTGACCCCCAGATGTCTGCTGGCACATATGCTCCTTTACAAGCTCCCTTACAAACACAAATAAGTAAATGCAACCTAAAAAGAAAAGTTCAATGTCATCTTTAGCTATGCTGTGAGTTCTGGGCCAGTTTGGGCTGTAAGACTGAGCTCTGATGAGATGATGATGATGGTGATGATAAATTTTAAATTTATGGATTCAGAAAGCATGTGTTAATGGGCATCAACCATGGGATGTTAAGTAAAGGTGTTTGTTTTCCCACCCTATGAGTGTACATGCCAGCAGGAGGAAACCCCCACAGCTTACCCAAGTCGTACCCCAGAACCGGCTGGGCTTGGTGCTGATTGGGGACCCCCTTTCTGAGAGACGGTCATGCCGACATTCCTGGAAGGAGCCGGGCTGCTGCCATCAGACAGGAGTGTGCTCCGAGGGTGCTCCTTCAGAGAGGCTGCAACAGAGGCAAACACAGAGTTGGTGCTGAGAAAGTGGGCAGGGTAGCGGAGGTCACCTGTTCTGAAGCCTCGCTCTGCCTGGGGCTTCAGCACCGACAGGATCTTGGAGGTCAATAGCTCATTATCCAAGAAGACGTTCTCGCTCCATTTCCTGGGGAAAGAGCCGTAGAAAGACAGCTCAGGGCGGCCAGGGAGTGTCCCCCGCCTGTCACCATCCTTGGAATGTGTGGTCCCCATGCTGGCGACCTAGTGCTGTACCCAGACTGTGCTGCGCCTGTTTTTGATGCCTTGGGTGGGATCCTTCTAGAAAACAAAGCTGCGTCTTCCCTGGCTGTATTGGCTGGAGCAGTGAGCTGGTGTGCTGGAAATTGGTTCCCACTGTGACTGTTTGGTGTGTAAACGGCACAGAATTTTCTCTTTCGGTAAAACAATTAAAAAAAAAAAAAAAAAAAGGAACAACTCTCCCACACTCTGCTTGCTCTTTGCAGGGGGCAACAGCAGAGGACAGCTTGTGTTCACGGCAAATAATCTACTGTCGGGAGCTGTGCACTTGGCGTGTTTGGCACAAGACACTACACAGGATGATAATTAATCTGAGATTGGATGTCAGGATAACGCCGAGACCCACAGACCTGGAGGCATGATGCTGATTTAGCTGGCCGTGCTCCTCAGCCCTGGTGTAAAGAGTATACCTGAGGCTCCTTATTCTGTTTTGTGGACCCACCCAACACACAGTTCTGGACTGTCACTTACTCCAACTGCTACGTTTAGGATCTGTACAGGAGGATACCTGTGCTCACCGAGGGAAATGTTTCCCACTGACTGAAAATTGCTTAAAAAAAAAAAAAAAAAAAAAAAAAAAAAAAAAAAAAAAAAAAAAAAAAAGCAGTGCTGGGAATGGAATCCAGTGCTGGGAACGGAATCCAAGACAGTAAGTATACATGCTAGGCAGGTGCTGTACTATGAACCACACCCTAATTCCTCACTGGAAGATTCTAGGCAAGTGTTCCACCTCACTCGGAGCACCCTCACCCCAGCCCCACTGGGGAATCTGGGCAGGCATTCTACCCCTGAGCCATCCTCCCCTCCCCCAGGATTGGTTCCCTGTGTTGAGATAGCAGAAGACCCTTGCTGGGTGCTGCTCCAGTCTCAACTTCTCAGCCTCCGAAGCCACTGGCCAGACAATTCACATTCCCTTCGCCCCCACCCCAAGTTCCCAGTATTTCTTAAAACAGCAACAAACAGACTAAGAATGTGTTGGAGCCGGTCGGTGGTGGCGCACGCCTTTAATCCCAGTACTTAGGAGGCAGAGGCAGGAGGATCTCTGTGAGTTCGAGACCAGCCTGGTCTACAAGAGCTAGTTCCAGGACAGGCTCCAAAGCCACAGAGAAACCCTGTCTTGAAAAATAAAAACAAATAAACAAACAAGAGTATGTTGGAAATTCTCTGACAGGGCCATGGAGGAAGCTTATAAATTAAGGTATGGATCACTACCTGCTACAAACATTTTCAATTAAAATTTATTCTTAATTGTAAAAAGTGTTTGTTTGTTTGTTTGAGGCAGGGTCTCTCTGTGCAGCCCTGCCTGACCTGGAACTAGTTAGGTAGCTGAGAACAACTTCATATTTCTGAAAGTGCTGCCTCCATCTTCTGAGTGCCAGGACCGCAACTGTGCACCTGCACATCTTTTACTAGGTGCTGGACACGGAACCCAGGGATTCCTATGTACCAGGCGAGTGATCTTCCAATTGAGTTACATCCCTAGCCCTCATAACATTCACTATTTACAACAGCCCAGCATGGTGGGGATGTCACCCACCCTGTGCCTCAGATGTTCTGATGTCATGTTAATATATGTCTAACAATTGCTATTATGGTGGATGATGGCTACCTAGATGTCATCGACACACAAATACCCATTTACAAATAAAATAATAATAATTGGAAGTGGCTCAGGTCTGGGCAGGTATTTCCTGCTATTTGTACACCGTACCAAACCCCACCCAGGCAATGATTTAAACTCACAAATATGGGACAAACCTGAATGGTGGCCTCTGCCTGGGGCCTCTTATCATGGCTAGCTGCTCCTATGAACTAAGGTCTGACCCGAGGTTGCACAGATTCTGCTCTCATGCTATCCAGAGAAGAGAAAGTATAAATACCATCTAGGAATGTTCAGCTCCAAAGAATTTAAATAAATTCTAATTATTTATTGTAGGGAGACACTGTAGCCCCGCCTCCTAGGAGCCCTATGGGTGTGCCTGGCTATGCCCCTGAGGGTGTGGTCAGGGGAGGTTCAAGATGGGGGGGATTCTTAAGGGGCGGCAGACACGTGGGGAGCCCCTTCTCTCTGGCCTCCCTAGCTTGCTTCCTCTGGGCACACTCTGGCTTGTGCTTGGCCGGTATTACTTGAATAAAGATATCTTAACCTGTAACTTCACGTTATATCTGGGCCTTGGAGACATACACCTATAATCAGAATACTGGGAAGGACTGAGACAGGAGGATAATGAATTTAAGGCCAGCCTGTCTCAAAAACAAAAGATGACTAATGGTTAAGAGTGCTTGCTGTTCTTGCAGAAGATCCAGGTTCAGTTCTCAGCACCCACATGGCAGATCACAATCACCTGTAACTCCAGTTTTAAGAGACCTGAAATATTCCTTTGGCTTCCTTGAACACCACCACATACCTGTACATGTGTGCATTCACACATATACACATAAAGTACACTGCATGTACCTGAGACAGGGTTTCTCTGTAGCTTTGGAGCCTGTCCTGGAACTCAATTTGTAGACCTGTCTGGCCTTGAACTCACAGAGATCCAACTGCCTGTGCCTCCCCAGTGCTGGAATTAAAATCGTGACCCACCACTGCCCAACTTTTTTTTTTTTTTTTGGAGACAGGGTTTCTTTGTGGAACAGCCTACTTGTCTTGAAACTCACTCTGTAGACCAGGCTGGCCTCAAACTCACAGAGATCTGCTCCCAAGTTAGTGCTGGGACTAAAGGTGTGCAGCACCACAACCAGCACAAATTGTCCTCTTAATCTACACACATGTGCCCTTGCAGACAACTTCCCCTCCATCAGTTAAAAATATTAAAACAAACTAAACAGACAGTAAAAGCCTAACACCGAAGGCTAGGGTTACAGCTCGACAGTAGAGTGCTTACCCGGCATGTCCAAGGCCCTGACTTTGATGCCTAGCTGTTACAAGGTTTAACAGTTGCCTTGGAGGTCACTGAGGATAGATTCTACCCCTTACTTCCCTGGTAACACCAGAAAGGGAAACCCCATCTTAATTTTTAAAGCAAAGCCCCATTAGGATAAAGCTACTTCTGCCAGGCAGTGGTGGCACACACCTTTAATCCCAGCACTCGGGAGGCAGAGGCAGGCGGATCTCCGTGAGTTCGAGGCCAGCATGGCCTACAGAGTGAGTTCCAGGACAGGCTCCAAAGCTACACAGAGAAACCCTGTCTCGAAAAACTAAAACAAAAAGATGAAGCTATTTCCTCCTGTTCACAGCAGAACAGAATCTAAGTTCTTCCTCTGGCCCTGAGAGGAGACCCAAGCCACCCCAAATATCACAACTATTATCTTCTTTGAAGAGTTAATCCAGCTTTGCCCGTCACTCACCTGGCCAGAGCTCAGGCTACAGAAGAAAGGTTAATTGTGTCCTTAATGAGATGATGTGCTCATCCCTCTGGACAGCTGCCAGCAGCATTTTGAGTCCTCAGAAAAGTTAAGCATTTTCTGTTCTGTTCCCTTCCCTTGGGATATCAAACATGTGTCCCAGTTGCTCTGAGCCTTTTCAGTTTTCCTCTGAAGGCCTCCACTCTCTCCACCATGCAGTGGCTTGCTGGCCTTCATTGCAATGGGAATGATGGTCTCTTCCTCTCCTCCATCCTCCTGTCTAGGGTTATGTATGTTTCATCTGCTCTGATGTGTACACTTAAGGAGACCAGAAGAGAGCAGTGCCCTGGTGCTGGACTTACAGGACATTCACAGCTGTCCCACTGTGTACTGAGAACTGAAGTCAGGCCCTCTCCAAGAGCAGTAAGCAACCTAAACCACTGAGCCATCTCTTCAGCCCCTATTTTCCTAAAAATAAAAAAGCCCATCTTAAAATCCTTTTACTAATGAGTCTATGAGCCCAAAAGGAGACCTTAGTTTCTCCCAGCAGCACTGCTAATAAAGTATTAGCATGGGCAGAGTATGCTAGTGCATGCCTTTAATCCCAGTACTTAGAAAGCAGAGGCAGGTAGATCTTTGAGTTCAAGACTAGCCTGGTTGACATAGCAACTTTTCGGCCAGCCAGGACCACATAGTGAGACCCTGTCACAAAAACCCCAAACAAAAACGATCAGAAAGTACTGTAGCACACTTAAATGTTCTTTATATGATTTAGAAAGCAAAGTGAAGTGCTCGGGTTTTTAAAATGTATTTTTAAAAAATGCATATTAGTGTTTTGCCCGCATGTGCATCTATGCACCAAGTTCATGCTGGTACCTGTGGAGGCCAGAAGAGGATATCAGATCCTCTGGAAATAGAGTTATAGAAGGATTGAGCCACCACGTGGGTGCTGAGAAGCAAACCCTGGTGCTTTCAAGAGCAGTCATTGCTCTAAACCTCTGAGGTAGCTCTCCAGACCCAAGTGTTTGTGTCTTACGGTGAATGGGTCTAGACTGACTCTCTATAATGTTTGTATCCATGGTAGAAAACCATGAGCCAGGAGCTCTGCCTTAAATAGTTATGTGAATTGTGTTTTTTACTGTTTTTGTTTATGAGACAGGGTTTCTTCATGTAGCCCTGGCTGTCCTGGAACTTGCTCTGTAGACCAGGCTGGCCTGCAAGTCATAGAGATCTACCTGCCCCTGCCTCCCGAGGGCTGGGATTATTAAAGGTATGCTGCTGCACCACCACCACCACCACCACCACCACCATCACCACCACCACCCTTATTCTGGGTTTTTGATGCTTTCAATACTTTGCAATTTAC